AGTGATGAATAGTAAGATGTTCTGGCTTTGCGGAGGGCTTTCTTATAAAGCAGCAAACTATTTCTCCAGGCTAAATGATGATCCTCTAAATTTGTGACACGCCATTTCCTCTCTAGATTACGAGTCATCTGCTTTAGTATTATATAAATGTATTGTATTCTACTGGCTGGTAGCTGAACTGGACTTAAGCACTTCGAGGCGTCTGTTGTTGAGATCTGGCGCCATATAAATCAAATTTAATTTAATTCATTTTTAATCATTGTCACTGTTTCCATCTTCTCAAACTTACATTGGAAAAAATAGAAGCTCCTTTCTATAACATTTTATTCACATCCTCACTTTGCAACTACTTTTAGTCCATCCATCCATTCGCTTCAGCTTATCCTTTTCAGGGTCACGGGGGGCACCGGAGCTTATCCCAGCTGGGGTATGTCACACAGTGGAAATTTGTATCTATCTTTTATATTGGACCTGATTTTACTTCTGAGTGTAGTTTTTATTTGCATGATTTTATGATGTTCCACTGTGGACCTGCTGGGTATGGGACAATTAGCTGATAGTGATCACCTGCTGAGGCATGGGTGTGTCCAGATGTGGCCTATCAGCTGTTTAAAAGACCTATTAAAAGGAAGCTAGGTGAGCACTGGGGGGAGAGAGGCCCCAGAAGGCCAGCGTGGAAAAGAGCGACCTGCTGCCTGATTGTGGGGTTGTGACAACTCATTTGGAGACCGATCTGTCAGCATAACGTGGCGACCCAGTGCCGACAGCGGGAATGGCGCCAGCAGGGCACCTCTGCATGCATTTGTGAGTGGATGTCTCCACTGCTGTTCAAAAAGGGAAATGCTAAATGGACTGGTTCTTTGGTTCTTATGTAGCGCTTTTCTACTCTGCTTCAGCACTCCAAGCACTTTAAACAACACGCTCCATTCACCCATTCATACAACACTTAAGTGCTTTCTATCTAAGTTTTACACATACTGAACACATCAGGAAACAACCTTCAAAACTGGATTCAGTCTCTGGCTGCAGACTGAGGGAGCCAGAGGTTGAACCACCTGGCTGTAATGACAGTGTTCAGGCTCAAACATAAAACAGCTGCTCTGATGCTGAAAACCTTTAAATGTCTCATTTTTAAACAATAGCCTTGTATGTACAATTTAATAATGGCTTTAAAATTATAATAATTCTATTATAAATTTTTCAATTATACTTAAATATTATAATAAATATAGAAACATTTCACTGCCCTGATGTCCGGTGGAGACTGTACTGCACAATATCAAAATCTCTGCCCTTGATGCACTGGGTTATTTAACCAGTACTTCCTGTGTTGTCACAACAAATGCACGAGAGGAAACGAGATTTAACGCTGGCCAAAAAAGACCTAGCATCTGCAACAGAACACTGCTCACATCAGCTCAGCGGTGCACGTGAGGTCAACCACGACTACAGTCACACATTTGGAAACTGTGTTGACATCTAATCACGACGTGTCCAAATGTCCAGCGGCACCTTCAAAAATCAGTTTTCAACAGGATAATACTCACTGTCCCTTTTGCCTTTGCGGAAGGAGGACCACATGGCACTAAACCTCTTGAAGGGCCCTTGTCGTCCGTCATCTTCGCCTGATGGAATGGCATCTGGAGAAACCAGCAGCTGCTCAGTACTGAAAACATACGTCGGTGCTCACTTCCCCATACCTCCTCTGCTCGTTTAAAGCCTCATAAATCTCTGTCCTCTTTTCCAGAACTCTAGCTTATCAGATTTCTGTTCAGGTTAAGTCCATTAACACCATTATGCCTGAAATAAATGTGAAACTGTGACTAACATGTCCTATGAGTAGACTATAAAACTCACAAGGCAGTTGTTTTAGTTGAGCATTCTTTAAGACTGACTTTCAGTTATGAAACCATTACTCGAGTACCCAAAGGAAAGATGATCTGCACTTACCATGCTTCTCAGAAACATCCGTGATGATGTTACCCTTGGGTTGTTCACCTAAACAACACAACAGAATACGTGAATGAAGATGTCCGAGTCAGCTTCTGTCTATGTTCTGTGCACGTACACAAAAAAATGACAGCTACAGGTATTTGGATTGTATTAAAGTATAAGAATGCAGTGCACTACAACAGTGAGACGTTAGAAACCAATGAGCTGGAATTGAGCCCTTTAGACCCCACGCCTTAAGTCGCCCTATGTAAATAACAAGCGTAGCTTTATGATTAGCAGCTACGATGTACTGAGACAACAGCCCCTAACATGTTTCTGTTACCTAGCAACAAAGCTTTTGCTACATAGGTCCCCTTTATTAATCCCGTGTTTATACTGCAGCGCTGACAGTCTGCTGAATCATCTGTTTGTTTTACACTCTGAGGAAGGAATTTCCCCCAACTTGTGCTTCACATCATCTCAGAATCAAAAACACTGGAGAGCAAGCCTTTTTGGTAAATAGACAGCATCAACAACAATGTGTTAAATACCATTTAAACTGTACATCACTTAAGAACTTGGTGATAGGCTGGTTTCTATCACCAAGACAAACAAAGACAAAGCTCAAGTTTATCAGTTTGTTTCAAAATCAAAAAGTATTAAAGAGGCAATCAAAGGCAGGGAAAGAAGTGCTTCGGACAACAAAATACATTTAAATATCTAGTTAAGCTTCCAAAGTTTGTAGGACAAAATGTTGTTTATCTATCTCACATCCACAGCCAAATAAAAGTGAAAGTCAACTATACCAGTGTTATTTCTGTGGGGTTTTCTTTCTATATTAAATAGATCCATCACCAAGTAAGCAGTTACCATAAAATAAGTAAATCTTTGTGTCTAAAACACAAATAATCATTGCATGGAAGACAGTTAAAGTAAGTCAGAGACATCAGCATCCGAACAAAGACTTAAATTAGTTCCCAGTGGGTTTGTAGTCAGCGGCTCTAAACACCAGTCTTTGTCGCTCCTAAGCTCCCATCTAGTGTTTTTAAGCTGCTAACCCAAACATAGCAGGCTAGATACAACCCTGTTTCCATGCACGACTGGCAGACTAAAGACAAAGGCCAAAAAGAGAAGCCCTGGCTGCAGCAGGGTCACTTGCCTTGGGAGACCAGCACAGCAGCCATACGACGACGAGTGATCGAGATGTGAACCTGCCAGCTGGTCAAAAAATAGAAAAGTAGACAGACTTTCTACTGGCTCACCTATGAAACCATGAAAGTATCACTTCCTCTAAATAGATGGTGTTCACTGAAGGGTCCCTGAGCTCAGATAAACAGAGTGAATTTGGCTCTTTTCTAATCACACTAACCACTCGCAGTACTTCAAACCACTGTTTGACCATACAATGAAACTGCGTTTTGTCCCGGAAACTTAAAGTTATCCAAGTTTATCTGCCTCACATCCACAGCCAACAATTAGAATAGTATCTGGAAAAAACTCACATGCACAAGGCGATCGTGTAAACTACCAACTGAAACCCCCAGCCAATCAGAGTGTTCAAGCCCTGAACCATTTCTGTCAGTCAAAAACACTAAGTCACATAAAGAAGGGGGCTCTCAGCAGGGAGCAGGTGCTTCAAGAGTCAAGTTGCCAGCTGAACTCAAGACTTCAGGAAGTAACTAGTTTCTATCTTAAGCAAAAAAGTAAAAGTAAAGTTAAAATTAATACATCCATTATAATTCCCAGTCTCTCACACACGCATATTATTATTATTATTATTATTATTATTACATGCCAACTTTAAGCCAATTGCACAAGTCACCATGAACTGTGGAAGCGATAGATCGATAGATATACACATAATGCAATTAAATAATCATTTTGAAAACATATCACATCATATCAGGAGGCTAAAGTATACGCTGACTGTGTGGTTGGTGGAAAAACAGAAACAAACAAAAACAAACCAAAGACAGTTTCTAGGTTAGATTCAATCGATCCGTCTGAGCTGAACTCTGTTAAACCAAAGTTCACTTTGAACACCGCAGCTCTTCTAAATCATTTTGAGCTAACTCGTTTGTGGTTGTCACTCCACTCTTTGCTGCATGTACATGTTGAGCGACCACACTCCACACACAGACAAATTGCAGCCAGAGCAGATTAAATAAGCAGCTGCAGGACACAGTCCAGGTTTCACTTCAGTCTGGCCAAGTCCCTGACAATGTTTACTGAGTCTGCAGTACACAACTTTGGCATTTGCAATCTGTTGTCCTGTGTAAACACCAGTGGCAGTGCCTTCCTACTCAGTAACTTGCAGAACTGTGCTGAATGAGCCCGCGGGACAAAAACACGTCTCAGGTTGTGTTTTAGTGTCAGTTTGACTCTTTCTTGACCCTACACACTGCTGCATTTTTGAGCTACTTCTTTTCAGCTCTGATGTGATGTGGGTGTAAAAAAAAAAAAAAAAAAAAAACCAGCCCTCCCTCGGGCCCACAGGGTCTTAAACATGTTATAACAAGATGCTGTCAAGTCAAAGGAGGTGATTAAAGCAAGACTAACTAAAGCTGCCTGATATCCTGTTTCCATGTTCTTGTTCATTCCTGCAGCCTTTATATCACAAATCTGCCAATTTATCTGTTTACCCAATGGAAAGTTTTATCCATGATATAGACTGTTTCCCTTCATAAGCACCATGTGTTTTCCACCTAAGCCTGCGCTGAAAAGGTGTTCTTCCAGCAGCTAATGCAGCTAAAAGCAGTCTTTCAAACTGGCTGTCATTTCACCTCCTGAGGCTACAAGGCAATCTACAGCAACATCCACAACATGCGCACAGTAGATGAACTAAAACAGATGTGAGGGCAAGCTTACAGACCATCACAGTTCAAGGTGACCACAAGCTAAATGATCATATGTGCACCTGACACAGCCCCAAACAACATTTTAGGCTCATACCATGAACACAGCATCACGACAAAACTCAACAAGTTTCATGTCACGGACTGTAAACACATCACAGAGGTCAAGTATTTAAGTCGTAACCTCCACGCTGCACTTTATGTCAGCTGTAAATGAACAGCAGAGGTTTCCCTACAATGAAGTGGAAAAACACCGATACACACATGGGCGCAACCTGTTCGAGATAAGTTACTTCAGCAAGTTTCGGCAGGTACCGTGTTTGTCGAGAAACTACACCGCTCAGTAACATCATGATAATAACTGTAAGTGTGTCTAACTTAGGTGGACTCGGGTTATCCAGCGGTAAGACTTCTCTAATATCCAGTACTCACTCCATCTGTTTTTGGGGTTCGTCAGTCGGACTCCTTTCCGTCTCTTCTTCACAGTCTCACTCATTGCTGCCCCTCTACTGTCGGGGGTTCCTATCAGCACACTCAGTAACAGCACGGCAGTATTTTACCATCGTCATCCCGCTGCATGCTACACACATAGCATTTTAACCTCGCGCTCAACTACTGTGTACGCTGAAGTAAGTTACCGCTGTAGGTGCTGCGTTCGCGTTATGTGGGACAAACGAAGTGTTGCGTGTTTCGTTCGGTTCTTCGCGGTTTTATCGTCCCACTCTTGAGGACCTGATTTGCTTCTAGAAACTACCGAGCCAAGAATAAAAAGCCAACAAAAATACCATAAAATAAGTAGAAGAAAGTTAATGAGCGGATGTTGGAGTCATGTTGTCGCAACAAACCCGATATTCACGAACGCAGCACTAGAGCCCTCAAACATTGCTTCATTTAGTTATTTTTCGACGGAAGCGGTTAGCTCTTCCAGCTGTATGCAGCAAGCAGGCGGTGACTTTAAACAGCAGCGTGCCAACTCAACTCCAACTCAAACTCACAAAGCACAGTCAGGCCTCCTTAATTGGTTTTCTGTCAGAGACATGATGAGACTGGATGACACCTCTGAGAAATACTGTTTGTTAGTGAGGGCGCCTACGGGAATTAGTGATCAGGTCAGGTACAATTAAATACGACCTATTCTTTTAAAGAATTCAGAACGCTCTAAAAATGAAAATTGCTCTTTCAACAGGATGAATCCATTTTAGATCAAAAGTGTACAACCACACCATGGTACTATGTCAATTTCAAGTCATTCTGATTTTGCCTTCCAAAATAATGGCCTGTTGAAAATGCCCATAACTTACCTAACTTTCAGTGATTTCAGAATGCTCTAAAAAGGAAATTTAAGGTTTCCACAGAATAATTTCACGTTAAATCAACAGGATACAACCTCACGATGTTACCATGTCAATTTCAAGTCATTCTGATTTTGCTTTCCAAAATAAAAGCCTTTTCAAAGTGGCCCAGCTGGGCTCCTTCTGGGGGGTGGGATGCCCTCAGGCCTCTGGCCTCTGGGTCTGAAGCTCGGTCCTCTCTGGCACAGCTGGCTGCTGGCAGAGCCT